CCTCGTAGATCCGCCTGTGAAGAGGTCTAATAACGCAAAGATGCGTTTCTCGATAAATCAGAGGTTTCCATTAAGTTACTAAATTATTTATTTTTAAGAGAAAAGAATGCTAATCCAGAGTTTTCGAACCTTTACGGTGAAAACGGCTTCTTCGGAAGATACTATTCTGAAACGAAAAAAAAAATGTGCCCTGAATCATGGGTGATAAATATTCAGGACGCAGTCATTATAAAGTTTTTATCACTGCCGACGTTTCAACCAAAACACGTGGGTCATCATCAGATTGTATTCTATACAGAAAGTATTGAAGTTCTAAGTACTTGAATACCTTCAGTGCTCGAAACACGCCCTGATGATGATCCACATGATTGGGTTGAAACGTCGGTACTAATAAAAAATTTTATAATGACTGCGTTCTGAATATTTATCACCCATGATTCAGGGTACATATATTTTTACGTTTCAGAATACTATCTTCCGAAGAAGCCGTTTTCACCGTAAAGGTTCGAAAACTCTGGATTAACATTCTTTTCTCTTAAAAATAAATAATTTAGTAACTTAATGGAAACCTCTGATTTATCGAGAAACCTCTTCACAGGCGGATCTACGAGGGGGGAGGGCTTTGGGGCTAAGCCCTCCAAAATGGTAAAATGTAACCATGTTTTATGGTAAAAAATATTTAAAAAATTATCTCTTAAAGTATTATTGTTCGTGTAATTAAATTTAATAGAACTTCAAGAAACACTTAAATACCATTTCATATCATAGTTAGTATCTTTATTTTTTTCCAAAGTAATTACTCTTATATAAATTAATATTTTTTAAAGGTTAATAAACCTTAAGAGTACAAGTGCCGGCCTTAGACACTTGGCGCCCACGGGAAATTATACTGGAAATTATACACGGAAGCTATACTGGTCTTACTTGGCAGATTTTTTTATTTGATGCGATACATTATAGAATTTTCACTTAACACCCTACATTCAGAAATTAATATTTTAAAAAGATAATAGACCTTAAAATGAAAATTAAATTAATATTTTTTAAAGGTTAATAAACCTTAAGAGTATTACTAGTGCCGGCCTTAGACACTTGGCGCCCACGGGAAATTACGTCAATCCCTCCCTCCCCTAAAAAAAAATGTAATATTTGAATTTTATTTCTTTGAACATTTCTCTAATATAGTTACTTTATTGATATATTAATATTAATTATTTTAATACGTTTTGTATTTTTTTTCTAACAAGCAACAAGCAGTAACTGTGGCAGTTGCCCCACCCTGAAGCAGTCACTGACTATAATTATTAATTCAAACTTAAGACAGTTAATATAAATTATGATAATGACATATACGAAATATATATTTGCTTTGGCAAGCTGCAAACGTTTTGGTTTTCCAAGCATTTTCTGTTGGAATCGTCAAGTTTAATAATTAATTAATTGTATTTCAATGCATTTCATTAAATACAAGAATAAAAATAGATTAATTTATTTTATTACCATAAGCGTGCCAGCATATAAATGTTTATAATATAATAATAGACTCTATTTGTATAGGGTTCTTCCCTCAAAACAAATAAAGAATAAATAAATAAATAAAATCATAAGGACTTTCCGGGTTTTCTGCAGTTAAAAATATTTTAAACTTCAAAGAATATGATCAAACATTCATTCCCAAACATTTGATCTACGTGATATTGATTCTGGCTCGATAATTTTGTTTCCCCGATCAAACAAATCAACCTAAGATTGCATTTAGACATTTGACAAACTATGAGACAAACAACAAGGCCTTTGGCCACAGATGCAAAGAACGCATACAGCGTGCAGAGCCCTCTTAACTAAATGCCTTGGCAATAAAGGACAGTGAAAATTTTCGTATATATACATTTATATACATACTGATTTATTCAAGAATTCTGGGGGTATGAAAAAAAAAAAAAAAAAAATGAGACAACAGTATTAAAAGGTTATTTACTAGTAGTATTTTGTTTCTCGTTTTGATATTTGTATCTACTGTCGATATTAAGAGAAATAAAATAAATAGTTTGGTTTAGCAATAATGTCGCTGTTATTAAAGTTAGATAATTGTGTTTCTCATAGTTTGTGAAATGTATAAACGCACCTTAAAAATGGTGAATTTAAATGTGTACATACATACTCAACAGCTGTTTCAATACATTTTATGAATGAATATTTGATCATATTATTGCACTAGCTAAATTGAAGCTACCTTATGACTAATAATAAAAGTATAAATATCACAAATGAGTCGAAACTATATCGGTGTGTTCTATTGTTGACGATTGGACCTTTTCCAGTAATGTTTCCTTAGAAGTTTTAAAAAGCAACATTATACATTTTAAAAAATAAATATACCACATGTTCGTTTTCAACGAATGATAATATTAAATTAATTTAATTCGAATTTAAAATGATTGTCCAAATATTGGATAGACTAATTAGTCCGTGGTACAGACTCTGTTTTATCAATTAATTAACATTCTCCTACAACTTCATCTTATGTGGTAATTTACAAAAAGTTTTATTTATGGAAATTATCGGAATGGGACTGTTTTCAATCTGCAGATCCACCTACTTTATCTATTTAATTAGGTACTAAAATCTCATGAATACCCATTTATTTTCCACTTTAATCGTAAGATAATTTGATCATAAAATCGAGAAAAAAAGTGGCCTACAAAAATACGGTACTATTTAGCGTGACCTCCATTCTCAGCATATCAAAATGACGAGATTATATAGGCCAAACGGCACAATATTTTTGCACGTCACTTCTTTTTTTTTTCTAATTTGTGATCAAATTATCATACGATTTATGTGGAAAGCAAATGGGTATTTATGAGTTTCTTATACTTAAAAAAATTAATTGATTTAATGAGACAACCCCCCAATTTCTCAGAATTTTCGTAGATACATAATGTGTAGGTTACTATATAATAAAGTCATTCGCGAAGTTTTAGGTGGATTTTAATAATTTGATAAAAAGGGTCTGTACAACTGACTTAAAGCTTATTTATGCAACAAATAATTTTAATTTTTTTTAAATGATTCAGCCGCTCTGACGTACATTTCACATGATTTATAAATTCAACAAAATAATTTAAATATAAAAAAAGTATAAATATACGATTCTATCATTTTTTAAAACTGTTTTTTAAAAGTAAATACGAAAAGTTTCGACTTCGCGACCTACTTTTTTTTGGTTAATTATAAACAAGAAAAAAAAATAAAATGCCTCATAACTCTATTTCAAGGAAATCTTGGATCTTAGCCTAAACAGTCCCTAGTTTATTTTAGTTTAAACAGATTTATATAAAATTCACTTTTTGCTCAAAGCTGTGACAACGTTCCTAAAATAATATTTTATTAATGTAGAGTGAGGTGTTTTAAAGACAGTTTGTCGTCAGGACATGACTGATTCAGACTAACAGTGCGTTATTTAAAATAAATGTATATATATTTTTGAAACCCTTCTCGATTTAATTCGATTATCAAAATTTATAATATCGTGAGCAATTTAAAATTATATAGATATTTCGTTTTGTCTCAAAATTACCTCAAGTATAATGTGATACAGAATTCGCAAAATAAACTATAACTATTAATGACGTTGAAAATGTAAATCATATAAAGAATATTTATAGAAATTCATTATTTTTATTAAGTATTTATGCTTCTATAAATATCTTTTATAAAAATTGAAATCAAGTATTCCACGATACCGATAAATGCGAGGAACATTGCCAGTAGTTCGGTTGCCAGAGCGGTTGCGTTGGTCGTGGTTGTAAAATAGTTCAAGATGCCTTCGAAAGACAATATTATCAATATTGCACCTTCAACAGGGTATTATAATTTGTTTTGTTATTTAATGTTAAAAATATAACAATTCTAATCCAACTCTTTTTTTTTTCCTCATATAACAAATAAGAACACTAACAAAATTTTGTAAAAAATACTGAAAAATTTCAGTAATATGAAGGATTATTCATCAAATACAAGTTATGTAAAGAAACATTGCTTAAAATGTGAATAAAATGTTGGGAAAATGCCAATGCGAATCTTCACAAATGCCAAAGATTGAGAGTTTTAGATTGCATTTTTGTTTTTCCCTTTTCCTGGTTTGTTAATGCACCATTAGCATAATTATTTTTATATCTGTGGATTAATAACTTTTCCTTTATAAAAGTGAAATTTAATAAGTGGATATTTTACCTGTCTTTGTGTGTTCGTATGCCATAGTGCAGCTTTATTTTGAAATGTATTTTCCTGTAATTCAACAATCCAAATTAATTCTTACAAAATTCATTTTATAAAATTAATAATCTTTCAATAAATGTATATATTTCAATTTAATGAAACCATTTACCATAAAAGATAAAAATATCTTATTGGTATTAATGGTTGAAGGTATAAATAATGTTCACTTTTCTATCTTCCAAAGTAATCCTTAAACTGATAACTAATTTCTTATAATTAAAAACAATATTACAGCAAAGAAGAGTGTCGTTAAAGTTAGCTTAAGTTAAATATAAGAATAAATAAATCTAAATCAATCACCTAAATATAACTGTTCATAAATTATTCATAAAAGCGATTTTTTATTGAATACTTTCAAAATCCAACGCCATTTGTAATTTTTGAACGAGTATCGTTGTGAAAAAACATAACTATTTGGCTGAATATGAAATTAATATATTTCATACCATTTTTACAAAAATCTCAAGTCTAAAAAAAGCTTTTGTAATTTATAATATGTTATAATTGTTCAAATACAAATTCTTTTATAAATCTCTTATCATTAAATATGGAGGTATTATATAACATAATTTAAAATATTAAGAAAAAATGAATTATTCACCTAGACTAAATAATTTTTTATAATTTAAATAATCTGAATTGAAAACGTATTGAAAAAAAATTTAATTCATCTTTATTATCATGTCTCATTTAGCTTTCAATGACAACACATGATAGTGATCAGCTGATAGTGTTGAGTTGAATCTGTTGTTTTTATCTCCGTGAAACGATTTTTATCTTGAAGAATGTCTACCAAAGACAAATTGCCCATTTTCCCTTCTCGAGGGTGTGTAAAAATCATAACTATGAAGTATAATTAATATTGTGTTTATTGAAAAAAATATCTTATTATGTGAAGAAAGCGACCACGCCTACTTTTTCTAACCTGCCCACCTATGAATTAAATTCAAATATTCATCATGATTTAACAAATTTTGAATTTTATTAGCTAGTTTAGTATTATTAACGGAAATTTTGTTTTCATATCTTATAAATATTATGTATTTTCAGTGCTCAGACTTTGATGAAAGGAAGACTTGTGGGTGCACAAAAAGGTCACAGTTTGTTAAAGAAAAAAGCAGATGCCCTGCAAATTAGGTTTAGGATGATCCTCAGCAAAATTATTGAGGTAGAATAAATAAATACACTTATTTATTATCATTTCATAACATCATTAGTGTTTCCCCACGATACCTAATAAGTTTTCAGCCTTTCTCTGTGAATTTTAGGTTTAATGAGTAAACATTATACTATTACATATGGATAAAATCATTTTACTTGCATCAATGTTTTTTCCCACTAGTCACTATATGAGTAGCTTCATATCAGTGACATCTGTCATTTAAAGAAAGTAGAGAAAAAGTCAATTTTTGCTCTATAGGTTAACTAAAACTGTTTTTGCTGATTTTATTTAAGAATGTTCATGTTGAATTATGATAAACAATCATTAGAATTAGTCTAAATTGAAGCTATGTTACGAAACTTGACTTTTTCTCAACTCTTTTAAAATGACTGATGTCAGTCTTTGGTATGAGACGACTCATATATATTCATTCAAAAGGGGCATATACGTTATAACATAGGGTCTGATTGAATATTTTTAATTTTGGTACTAGTTTGAATTGCCACTTCTAGATGGTGACGAAGTTCAAAATCTTATCCAGCACACTAAGTGCAACCCCTAATCATATTAGAATATTTACGTTAAAGTTTTTTAAGTTTATGTAATTCCCCATTACATTTACTTCTAATATATTATGAACAGGGGCTGGAGTAACTTGATGAATAAGGGTTATACCCCTATTCTGCGAGTTCCAGGTTCTATTCTGGATGTGACAAGTAATTGTTTATGCTGTTACACCAACCATGAGATTAGGGGACACTCCTGGGGCATACCCAGCCTTTATAAATAGGATGCTCTTAATTAAGTAATAAATAGGAAAAATCTATCGGTTTACCATGTTCCCTGTCAAATCATTTCCTTGCATAACCGTTGACTTCTTTATGCATTAATGAACACTAGATGCATGGGTTGTAATTGATATTGGTTGCGTAAACCAGCTTATTAGAAATATTAGTTTGCTAATCATCGAAACTTTCACTTCTTACTAGGAAACAAAATATCAAAATAAACATAATTTTTATGTTTCCAATCCACAATAATCATTGCTCTGTACTCTTTGGATTATTAAATATAAATGTATGCATTGCTACATTTAAAATTAAATTTATATCTCAAACACATTTCCCCGTATCGTACATTATATAATTAATAATAAGTATAATACTTTTATATAGTTTTTTTTTTTTTTTACAGCAAGAACCACACGAATATCATTTCCGTTTCCTCTTCAAATCTTCAGCCTTCCTCTTACTCCAATACTCTCTCATCCTCTTGGACTGTTCCTCTCACTCTTCCTTAGTCCATTTTCTCCCTCGCCTCTCCCTTCCATCTACAAGAATCCCAACCCCTTTCAGTTTTTCCTTAAAAAGCTCTCTATCCAAGCAATCTTTATCCGTGATTTTTAGCCTGTCTAGTTCCTCTTTTATTTGTTTTACATATCCTCCCGTACTTTTATAGCTGCAAACTTGGTCAACAATTTTCTTGTTCAGTCTTTCCCTATTCATCCTGACCATGTGCCCATAGAACCTCATTCTTCTGGTCCTGACGACTGTTTCCAAATTTCTGTATATTTCTTTATTGGATTTTAGCCTATATCCCTCTTGCGTTACCTTGGGTCCGTGAATTCTCCTCAGAATCTTCCTCTCAATCTTCAGGATTTTCTCTAGGCTCGGAAGGTTATATAGTTTATTGTATAGTACAGTAAATTTTCTGCTATCTTTATAAAAACAATAATAGATGGCCCTTTTTTTCTTCATAAATATCTTAAATGCGTTTTAGACAAACTTGTATTGTTAGAATATGTTTGTCAATATATGTAAACGTGATTGTCAGTACTGTCATAAAAATTCATCATTATTCCATATACAATGTGCTGGATGTGATCTTAAATTTAGTCACCATCTTCGAGTAATGATTCGAGGCTAGTACCATAATTTTTAATCTGAAAAATTTGGTCTCGGTTCTTAAGAAAGGAATATTGGCTAAAAGATTTCAAAGATAAAGTATAATGTAAAATATATAGCCCTTAAAAATATGAGTCAACTGTGTAATGTAATACTGTATTTTGTCTTAGCTTTTAAATATTAAAGGTTTTGATCACATAGGATAGATGGAGCTTAAGCAATGATTGATAATGATTTTGTCTTCCAACTTCCAAGCTCACTTAACTTTATTATCTATTATCAGTAAATAATAATAAGGTTAGATAAATATTTGATATATTTTTTATTAAAAAAACCTACTTCCAATTTTTTTATTATTTTATGTGTTATAATTAAAGTCTTCTTAATTCTTGATGCATGTCATGTTGGGGTTTCCATATTTCTGTAATCAAATTAAAGAATCCTGTAATTAATTTTCTATAGTTTTTATTCTTGTAATTTTCTCATTTAATTTTTTTTTTTCTCAGACTAAAACTCTGATGGGAGAAGTGATGAAAGAAGCAGCTTTTTCATTGGCTGAAGCAAAGTTCGCTACTGGAGATTTTAACCAACAAGTTTTACAAAATGTACAGAAAGCTCAAATAAAAATTAGAACAAAGAAGGATAATGTTGCAGGTTTGATAAAATTACGATATTTAATAATTTACGTTTTAATATTAAAATGTCGTTCCTATGAAAAAAAAGTTCTTAGGTTGACAATTACTTATTGAACAATTTTAATTAAAGATAATATTTATAAATAATAATTCCCTTGTGTTTTAAATTAATTTAAAAATAAATTGTTTATCTTAGGTTTATGTGAACTGTTTCTTAAAGCCATAGTTGCTATTAATTATGTTAAAGGAATGATTTTTTTAAATAGTATTTGCTTTTCCTTACTGATAACGATAACTTTCTGTATTTCTTTCCTCTTCTGCCTCAAATACCCAGATTTAATTTAAATTTAATCTCTTATTATAAAAATAACTAAATTTTTGAAGATCTTATTCTGAATCCAGCCTGGATTTAGATATAGAATGCAATTAATTGAACAAAAATGTAACAATAGCTATCAGCGATTTATGAATTACTTAAAATCATATCATAACGTCTTACTGTTATTTCATCTGAATATCTCAGTTGAATTTTCTAATATAGTTGTAATCAGTATAATAGAGAGGAATAAAAAATAAATAAAACTTTTCCCCATTTACTTAGTCTATTATATTTTAATCCTACTAGTTAATATAATTTTAAAACTAATTTTCAGGTGTGACACTGCCCGTTTTCGAGAGCTATCAAGATGGAACAGATTCCTATGAGCTGGCTGGATTGGCTAGAGGAGGACAACAGTTAGCGAAGCTAAAGAAGAATTATCAAAAGGCGATAAAACTTCTCGTAGAGCTCGCTTCATTACAAACATCTTTTGTTACGCTAGATGAAGTTATCAAGCTAACGAACAGAAGAGTTAACGCTATTGAACACGGTTAGTTTTTATTAATTTCGTTTGTTGTTATTTGTACGTGTAAAATTCTCAGGTCACCAATGGCTACTTATCAATTTTGATCCTTTTAATAGTATTTAAAAAATGTATACAGATAAAGTAAGCAATTATTATTTTTATTTTGAGCCCTTGAGAGAGGCTGCAGTGCCAGTTGCTAATTAGTTGTACCGACCTAATATTAAGCTGAGTCCAATATAAAGTATTTTTTCTTCATAAAGTATATTAAATTTTGTCGAATATATTTTAGACCTAAATATTATTTTTAAATTAAACTGGTGGTCAAAAATACTGGCGCATCATGAATTTTACATAAAAACCGCATATTAAAAAAAAATTGTTGAGCCTGAAGTAATAATTGGTATATGACAGGTCAAAGAGAAACATCATCCTTTAATCCTTTCGAAAATATACCACAATTCTCTCTAGGATTAATGATACAATTATTAAAATAAAACTTGGACCTCATATACAATGAGGACCAAGTTTTATTTACATTCAATCATTCATAGTTCCATTCATTCATAGTTCCATAGTTCATAGTTCATTCATTCATACATACATTCATAGTTTCATATACAATGAGGCATTTTAAACAATGTCATTGTTCTGATTCGGTGGATTTTAAATACTTATTTCCAAACTTAGAACAATTTTTAGAAGTTTACTTTTAGTAAGAAAACATCATTTAATTTCCTTGGAAACATATGATTTTCATTAAATAATATTAGTTTTTAGAAATTATTATGTTTTATCCGTTACTCTCCGTTACCTTCTAAAACTTTATTAATCAGATATTATATACTCCAGTGCCTGTTCAATTGCATTAGTTTTGGTTTTGTGTTTTTGTGTTGTTTTTTACTTGCAAAACAATATTTCATGTGTATCAAACATTTACAAGAATGTAAGATGGTAGTTTTGGATTCCGTAGCAGTCACTCTGATTACTGCTTTAGTTGAAAAAGGCCAAAGTAAGCGATACGTGGCTTGAGTCCATAGTCTTTCTAAAAAAAAAAAAACGGTTCAGCAGGCAGTATATAGGAACCGGAAAGAAGGAAGCTCCGCCAGGAGTCCGTGATTAGGCCATCCAAGAGCAACAGATCCAGCTGGTAACCGCTTCATTGCTATACAGACCTTCAGACTTTAGTTGAGACTTCTCATCGATTACATATTGCTCGGGTTGCAGATGTCAGCATGCTCACAGTAAGAGAAGGCTTGCTGAACTTAACCTACATGCTAGGGATCCCCTCTCTGGCTCTCTACTCACCACAGCACACCGAGAAGCTCGCCATCGCTATTATCATGAAAACGCTACTTGGACAGAAAATGATTTTGGACTCTGATCTGTTTTCTGACGAGATGAGGTATAGCCTTTAAGGTGCAGACGGACGAGTTCTTGTATGGAGAAGACCAAGTAAGAATTAGCGGGGAAAGTGCTTTTGTTTAGAGTCAAGTACAGACCTCCATGTATTCCAAAAACCAAAGCTCAATGCATACTCGTACATTTTAGGAATGTGTGGTATTTTTTGGCCTGTTTATCGCCCTCCGTTTCCTTTTTATGCAGGATAATACTCGGCCTCACAGGATCGTACCGGGCTTCTTAGATCCGCACCTTGGAGTGGCCAGCTCACAGCCTAGACTTCAGTCCTATTAAGCATCGTTGTGACCAGCATATTTATAGTAGGCCGTTATTAAAGAAAATGAAGCAACACCATGTACCAGAGACTCAGATATCATAAACTCAGATATATTTTTAAAAAATTAGATGTTTTATTTTTGTTTAAAAGATTGCTCATTTGCTTTATTTTTATGAATTTTACAGAATATGTTACACTATATTCAGGTAAAAAAAATTGCAATTTTTTTTTTCTGTTGGGAAAGAAATAACGACAAAATTTAAAGTGCACCAGTTTTTATGACCATCAGTGTATTAATGAATTTTATTAATGAAGTATTTTATTTACAGTTATTATACCTAGAATTGAACGCACACTTCAGTATATCATTTCCGAATTGGATGAGCTGGAAAGAGAAGAATTCTATAGGTACCATTATATTTATTTATTGTCATTTTAAATTTATCATCACTGACTTTTTTGAGTTTTATCCACTTTAAAAAAAAATATTATATCTGTGTTAATTATGTTACATTATATGTATTGTTACTTTCTTGTGCTAAGTTATCTAAGCATACATTTCAACTTCTCATTAATTCTGAATTAGTCCCCTAAGCTCCAATTATTCCATATTAAATAGGTTTATTATAATAATATTATACCATTAAAAATTTAATCATTGGCAGTAAATAGTAAATATTTTGTCTAAATAATTATTTTATATTAGTAGTAATAAAGTAGTTATTGATTCAAATAATTTTAATCTGGTATTTTCATTAAATTTTATTCATCAGTGAAGATTAGATTATAACATTAAAAATAAAAAACTCTTGAATCTTCTGGATGCATATTTATATACATAATTAGCATTAAAGAAAAGTGTGGCAATATCAGGGGCGACCATAGTCCAACTTATGCTGAATTGGATTGTATATCTTATATTTTTTAACTAATAATATTGTTTTTAGCGTTTCAGACCTTCTATCTAATAAAAATTTTTGGGATTTTTTCTTTCTTCCTTTCGTCTCTGATAAAAAAATTGTGTTTAAAATTTTTTTTTTGCGCTTTGACCACTTAGGACCATGAAACAATTGCATTTCTTTTTTGTATGGTCTTATCTCCTACTCATGTACTCCTTCAAAAGAACACTGCCGCTGTTCTGTTCATCAATCGAAACTTTTCCAGTCTAATTTATAATTTATATATATAAATTTTCAAATTTGTTCATTTTTATTTGCATTTGTTGTTTTTACATATTTCTTATTTATTGAATTATTTTTGTTTTATTTACACTGGGAGCGGGGTAGCTCAGTGGTAGGGCACTGAGCTTCCAATGCAAAAGGTCCCGAGTTCGAACCCCGGCTCATGGCAGAAAATTTATTTATCTGTTTCATTGGCCGTGGGGCGACCTTGGGTCAGAAGTCCCTCCTGGGGCACACCCAGCCTCTATAAAGTGGGTACCTTTAATTAAATAATTAATTAAGGGGGAAAACCTGGCGGTTGAGCGTGATCTCGGTCCAATCACCTCCTTGCATAACCGTTGACCTAGAAACAGTGCTTTCCCTAAATAGTACTGAATCCCAGACCCTTCATGGGTTGTAGTGGTACAGGTTTTTTTTTTTTATTTACACTAATATTTGGTATTAATTTTTATTTTTAATATTTTTACATTTTTCATTTGTTTATAACATTAAAACATTTTCTTAGCATATTTAAATGCCTTTATTATTTTTATGTATATATAACCGTTATCTTATTTGCACGTTTCACCTTTTTCTCTTCTTACACATTTTTATTTATCATTTTTCTGATGTTATTCTTTACTCTTATTAATGTTAATTTTTTTACTCTTATACTTTTATGTTATCATTTTTCTGATGATATTTTATATTTTTTAATTTTTAATGATGATATCAAAATTTGCTAAATCGAAACGTTGACCTAACTCATTAAAAAAATGTTTGTCTACGCATCCTAACTATTTTTGCATTCTTATAATTTCAACAGTTGACTATATGCCCATCTCTAAATCGAAATTACTCTTACTAAAATACTGGTAAAATATCTTAATTTCATTTTTTTCAGATTAAAAAAGATTCAAGATAAGAAACGTATCGCTCGTCAAAAAGCTGAAGCAAAGAAAGCAGTGGACGCTGCCGCAGCAACGATGGCGAGCAACATTCTCGAAGAAAACGATGAGGACCTCCTATTTTAAAAACTCCAGAAGAAATAATTTTATCGCTCTGCTTGTTCAGCATTCCTGGATTCGAACCATTTTTAAAACTTGCTAAAACAAACCCACCTGTGAATAGTTGATGTCCTTTAAAATCATCTGTACAAAATATTTTTGATTTTGCTTTCTTTTTGTCTTAGCATACTAAATTTTTTTTTCTATTATTTGAAAACGTGAAGTTTGCGATTTGAATGAATGTGAACTAGTTAATTTTTTTTTTTAATTAATGAAATGTTTTAAGATTTTATTTATATGGGAGGCATTTATTTGTTTTAATTTCTATAAGGAAGCGTCGTGAATCTTCATGAACAGGTGTTTTTATTTTAAATGTGTCTTTTTATTGAGATTTAATTTCATTTTACTGATATAACTTTTTTTTTTTTGTTTTTAATATTTGTATTTATTCTATTATTTACTGGTCGAAATATAATGCAGTTTTTTTTTTGTGTGGGCCTTTTATTTCTTTAGTCTGTCAATAAGTGCACACAGTTTTCTTTTTTTTTTTTAATTTATAAAAAAAAATTTGGATGCCAAACAGCATGATTTCATTGTTTAAATATAAATTTTAAAGTGGATCATTATGTCTGCTTTAGGTTATGAATCGTAGATTGTATTTTCAAATTATAACTTTGAGGGTTCAAGGCATCATGGTAAATTGTATTTAAATATCATTGACAATTTTCCCCTATCTATAGAATATATTGTATAACTAAAATTAAATGATATTAATTAGCTAGAAAACCGATGGTACTTACCAATAATATCTAATAGTAATTATCCTAGACTATGCTCTTATTTTATTTTTTGTTTTGTCGGTCTTTGGGAATTGTACAGTGATTTAGGTTAGGAAATAATAATTGTTAAATGCTTTGCAATGTCTGTTAATAATTGTGTTATTTTAATGAAGTATTAATTCTGAAATAAGTACTATAAAATGTAAAGTAAATAGGTTGTTTCTGAATTTATAAATTTAAATTTATATATATATATGTTGTTCAAGTATTATATAATTATTCCAATTTAATACATGAAGCATAGATAATTTTTAAAAATGTTGTCTTCATGTAAATCTATGTATATTGTATTTGTATATAAAGCAGTTTACGAGAAATACAAGTTTAATGATATGATTTATTTATTTCTTATTTTATTTTATTTATAAGTGTATATGGTTGAGGAAATATGTTAAAAAAATGAAAAATATATTTTCCTATAAAATTTTATTGGTATCTCACCATCTTTGAGGAAAAATATGTTATGTCAGATTTTTCGAAACTTTGAACTATTCACAGTTCTGTAAATCAAAACCAATCTAGAGCAGATCTTTTATTTTAGTTTTCAAAGGCGAAGAACTGAATAGTTTATGATGTTTTTTTTTTTCTTACAATATTACTGAAATGAATTGAAAGAAAATTCTTGAGTTTGTGTTCAAAATCAATAATTTGGTTGAAAAAATATTAAAATTTGGATTTTAAAAACGTGTAAAAAGCCATGATTGCCATGCATGTTAGGGCAAGAGTCAGAGAATCTGTTCTTGAATGGTGTGGATTTGATTCCTAACAAGATCAGTTCATATTTATTTTCAGAAATGAATATTGCCATTCATATTCTGGTTTGTATAGGGCAATAACCTAGAAGTAAAAATCAGAGTTTTATCTACAAAAACATATTAATAAACACTTATATCAAATCAATTCTAGAAGTTAATATAAATCGATACACAATACCGCATTAAAATTGATAGTGTTTTCATATAAATAAGCCTTAAATATCCTAATAATTGTATCTAGTTATGTTTTATCTCCTATTTATTGAATAATTTTTATGTAACATAAAATGTAAGTATTTTTCATTTTAAACGTGAAACATCAATTTGGTCTGTTTGAGGAAGTTATGCTGACTTGTCTTTTGTTGTTTTTTTTACATACTTAAGTTGTCAGGACATATTTTGTATACGAAGGTTTTTGAACTATTATGGGTACTGGAAAGTATTGTCATTTTTGAGCTTAAAGATAGTGACTTCTTTAGTTGTAAATAATTAAATTTAAAATTTGTTTTTGCAATTTTTGGTGAAATGGCCAGCCAAATATCAGAAGAGGTGCATATCCAGCATTGCATGCTTTTTGTGTTTCGCAATTGTAGTAATGTAACAGTTGGTACCAAAAACATTTACGATGTTTATGCAAATTTATTAGTCGGCCTAAATGCCAAAGATGGTTCATCAAGTCAAAATCTGTTGATTTTTATCTTTCCGTCTCATATCGAAAAGAAAAGTTAGGGATGGAAGTCGAAGCTAATTACTTGTCACACAATCGAAGTCTTAACCAACCTTGGTGAATAATCCAGGAACATTTACAGTAGATTGGGAAACCACCATATGCAAATATGGTAATATATAGTAATATAATATGCAAATTACTTCAACGGTACAATGCAGAAGCGTTTTTTGATCGCTTGATTACCAGAAATGAAAAATGGGTCTTGTATGATAATCCAAAAGGCAGTGGCTCTCCAAAAAAAGCGCCACAAAGTATTGCTAAGCCAGGTTCACAGCCCAAAAAAGCCCTTTTGTGTATTTGGAGTATTCCCGGCATAGCTCATTTTGAAGTGCTGAAAGCTGGGACAATCAGTGAATGTAGATCTTATATAATGATTGTGAACAATTGGATCGTGTAAATCAATCTTTAATTGAAAAGTGGTCAGTGATTGTCAACAAAAACTGTATTATTCAGCAACACAAAAATGCAAGATCACACTGCGTAAGACGAACCCTGGTTAAATTAATGAACTAAGATGAGAGGTATTGCCTCATCCAGCACACTCTATATAATTTTCTCAAAAACCAATTAATTTTTATCGATCCTACATCGAAAATTTGCACACTAAATTGCCAAAGGTTGTTGATAATGAGGATGACTCCATTAATGATTAAAAATAAAAATTGTTTGAATTTAATGTAAGAAAACAACATTATTTTCCAGTCCCCTAATATCATCTATACTGCATTTATTAGCTATAGAGAAAATTAATAAAAGTGAAACATTGGAAAAAAAAATACACATATTGTATGTAACATTTAATTGTATATCGTACAAACTTATAAATTCATAAATAACATAAAAATAATTTTTATCCAGATAAATTTAACATTCATGTTTCGGAAACTATCTTTCTTCTGAAAAGTACATTTTAATCATTACGAGAAAAGAAATTGTCTTTTTTAAACAATCACCATATTTAAAAATAATTAATCTTGTACAATCTGTTATATTTAAAAGCTATGTATCTTTAGTTTTTCAATAAAAAGCAGTATTACTCTTTAAACATATAATACATCATTATTTGTTATTGTATCATATTTAATTTTATCTTTTTCTTAGATAGTCATCTTACATAAAATGAGTCAATTTTTAAACACACACTTGTCATATAGTACGAGTTTCTATTTATCTGACATTTAAAATAATATAATACAAGTAATAAATAAGTTAAACATATAAATCTATGGTGGTCTGACAAAAATGGTATGTTCATTTATTTTTTTATTTCAGATGATTTGCTTTCAAAGTAGTGGGAGTTCTTTCATTTGGTGCCATTGAGCTAATCAGATTGGATACCGGACTAGAAAAATCTGAAACGCCTGGAAAAGTCAGTAAGTTTCAAGAAAAAACATCAGAAGTAAAGGAATTTCGCAATCTAGCGAACACAAGTAAGAATTTGCTGTTATGAATCCAAATCATTATTGAACACAATCAATTTATGTAATTTACAATTTTATATACACAACTACACTTAGGGGGGCTTTTAACTCTGGCATTAACCATCTGGCCTGGGAGAAAACCAATATAGCCTTAAAGGGAAGAACAAAAGAAAAAAAAAAGGTTAAATCCAGTGGGTGCATTAAGTCATTGGAATCGCTGAGCCATTGGTGTTTAGAAGAATGACAGAAATTTTCTTAAAAAGATTTTGTGAGACACTCTGAATGATATTTTTCAAATAAAACTCAGATGGTAATATATTAATTTTTGTTTGAAACATCAGTTAGAATCAATGTAATGAACTATTAGTGAATATTGGAAAACTATTATGATGCAATATCTATTTTTCTTATCATTCTTATTTTGCTCTAAATCACATAAATTTAAAATTATTGAACTTATCATGTTTTACCTTACCACCACAGAGCTTTAATGATTCTAACTTATAATTATCAATTAACATAAGTTTTTAACAATTTATTAATTTATTTATTGTTTACTCATTTAATGTAATAATTTATATCTGTAATGTGCGTTTATTCAGCAGTTCTAAATTACCTAACCAATATTTCAAGTACAATATTGATCGCAATCACTGGTGCCAACTGCTAGTAAATTAATTTTTTTTAATTGAGGCTTAATTCTAGATTTGATAATCGAATGTGTGAAATAATTGTAACTAATAATAATAATAAAATAATTTCAATATTACAAAATTTAAATTCAAAATTCCTTTGGTTTGTGAATTTCAGAGTTTATTTTCTATTGTTCAGAGATTCATTGTTATTGTTTTCACTCGTAAGCAAAATATAGCTCCAAAAATACTTCACACTATGAAAAATATGAAACTTTGATCATTTAAAAGAAACAATACTATTTATTCAAGTTATTTTTCAAAATATAACTATAAATTCAATAATCGGTATCATTATTTTATGCTTTTATAACTCATACAGAAATATAGAATTTTTGTTTTGTAAATTCTTTATTAGTTTATTGTTTATAATACTGAAAAGATGCAGTCGCTGGTCTCTCTTATTGTCATCGTGATTTAATATTTTCATTTGGATTGATTGCGATATTTTTAAATTTAATTTGTATCAATTTACCCTTGAAATGCTAAAGTTATTTTATTAACATATATTTTTATATTATATCTAATTCAAATAACAATATACCTATCACACAACAACATGATTATATAATATTATGTCTATAATATGCATTTTCTTATGTTTTAAAAACATCTAAACTTTATATTAAGAGAAAATATCCAATGAAGTATTCTACAATAAGTGATCTTTCAATTACTGCCATATTCATAAGGATTTGGTTTTATATAAAATTATTATTATTATAGATATTGCACAGAAAAATGAATATTTTTTCAACTCAAAATATACTTCAATATCATTAAAATAATTTAATTGGTCACTGTGAATATTAATTAAATATTCCATTATTTTTTAATTTTGACTGGTTATGAGTGCAATATAATAACAAAATGTTTTCGTTGCTTAAGTAGTTTCTGTTCAAATGATTACTAACGAATGTCATTACAATAAACAACAAATGATCATATTATCACTCTGTAATGTTAACACTACAGTATTTCCAAGTTCATCTCAAACCTGGAACTCAAACTCTTTATCTACCAAATACTGCCTTCCAAATCGTGTAAAACCCTTTCCAAAATCAGTGTATCCAGTTTCATAAAGTTGAAAACCTTTCCCAAAATAATACGTTTCTTACATATCAATTTAATTCCATTTGTTACGCAAATTATACATAAAGAAATTCATTATATTATACTTACTGCTTTGTCACATCTTAAACATTGATGTAAATAAAGTGCCAAATTAATTTACTGCTGAAGTCTCCTCTCTCCAAAAAACATGGTAAAATATAACCATATTTTCTGAAAAAAAATTATCTCTAAAAGTATTATTATTGGTCTAATACATTTAATAGGATTTAAAGAATCGCTCAAACACTATTTCATATAGATAGTTAGATGCTTCCTTTTTCTTCCAAAGTAATTACCATAGTACAAAAAGAAAGCTTTCTGGCTGAAGCCGCTCCAAACAAAAATGAAATCCTAGACCAGTGATAGTGACTAAGAATATTTAGAATTAGAATCATATAGTAACTTAATATCAGTGATCTAAATTTTTCGAAAACATATACAACCCAAGCTAGTCAATTATTTTGAAACATATCGCTACTCTTAGTGAAAAAGATCGTATTTAAAAAAACACTTTTTTACAGAAAAACCTATTATTTCTTTATGATTTATTAATATAGTTTTATATTTTATTCCTCTCTGCTATTTTCCTATTTAATAGACTACTTACAGCAGTTGCAAAATATAAAATGTCACTTTTAGGGCAAAGAGAATAAACATATAAATTGTTGCATGTGACATTTTGCACTAACAGTTGCGATATTTCTAAATTTTAAATATTAACTGTAATAAAATATTTGTATTTATTAGAGATAATTTTGTTAGTAAATAAATAATAAAAATAAAATTAAGATAATTGCAACAGAAAGAATCACAAATGAAAAAGGAAGAATTATATCGCTTGGGAAAGTCTTCAATTTATATGAAAAAGAATACATTAATATGGAAAGAGTAGCATGTACTACAGAAGGCGACTAAATTTGATAAATATATATGCACTACTAACTGTCAACTCCGATAACAACTAATGTTAAGAAAATACTTAATACTATCTTACAGCTTAACACTTATAACAGCAAATACATGTTTATATATGTATAGGTTTATATTTAATGTTTAACTCAAACCGCATTGAGGTACAATAATATATAATATCACAAAAGCTTCCCACAACCGATTTTGGGGTATATATATATAGGTAACTAACTACCCAGTGATAGTTTATTACAAGGAATAATACTATCATCTCAAAATAAGATAAACAGGAACCAATAAACCATGCAAGTTAATTTCAAAATTTAAATAAGATTTACTAGAGCAAATAGGAACATAGAATAGATAGTCGTTGTCTCAATACTGTAAATAATAATGGTACAAGTATCTTTTAACCTGATAAAACAGAAGAAAAACTGATGACTTACGTATATGGCTTACAACCCAGGAGTTTTTTAGAACTCCTTATTCAAAATTCTAATTTTAGCTCACATGTTGCCGACTGTAGATGAGCCAATGGCACAAAATCTCCAACATGAAGCATATCCGATAAGATTTTTTTTAGGCCTTTTGATTTACTCACCAACCATTTTGTACATTATTTTTAAACTTGTATGAGGCGGAGGGGTTTTGAATATTATTTCTTCATTTTCATCCTTGACCTCTTCATATTTGACCTCAAGTAGTGTTTCGTACCCAAGTTTCGCCAAAATCTTCTGAGAAAACAATCCTGTAGAATCCCCTTTAATCACCTAAAATTAAAAATATGTATAAATTCTTCATAAGTTTTATACTTTACAAAAAAAAAAATTGAAATAGTTTAATTCTAATAATACAGCTCCAGCTTATATCCATCAGTCTTATTTTATTTTTTCATTTTCCAATTTTTCAGTCCATCCGGCAATTTCCAAACAGGAAAAACTTATTTTAAAATTAAGAACATTTGGGGTAATTTGTCTATCTCATATTTTTATGCAATTTTTTGTAACTAAAAACAATAATATAAAAAATGTATTTCATTATTGCTTAAAGGGCTGAAACGTTGAAGAATGAAAAAAAAAAGTTAGACTGATGGATCAGGTAAGGAGTTTTATTGTTAGAAATAAAACATTGCTAACAAAATATTAAAATATAATATTGAATAGCACATTTAAAAGTACTATTATTATTATTTTTTTTTAATTTGATTCTAAATGCTCATAAGTTATTCTTTATGAGTAGAAAAGTTTTTCGATCTGATTTGAACCTAGTAATCAAAGTTGATCGGTTTCTCTTCATCGCTAAATTTTGTAGTTGTTGAATATTAAATTCAATAAAATTAATTTTTTATTTTTAATTTGAATAAAGGAATGATGATTTGAACTAGTGGAAGTGTAGTGACAAGTGCATGAATAAATGGTGAAATAATAACGCTTTATTTTTTATTATAGGCCCCAAGACCTTCAGAGAGAGAAGGAGAGTTCACTATGAGAGGTCTTTGGTTGGGTTTTGCGGAATGATTTAAAAAAGAACAAGGAGCTTCCTTGAGGAACTAGGTGTTGATGTTTTATGCACCAATTTTTCTCTAGTCATATTTTATTGTTTACATTCATAAAACTATGTTGGTTAACATGTCTCCAATTTAATCTTCTAATTTTTGCAATTCATTTCTTTCTTTTTTTTTTATAAATTTCTGAGATTGTGTTATATTAGTCTCAGCCAAATATGTATTGTATAATAGTGATTAGTTAGTTTAGTATAGTAACAATATTATAAGTGATTAGGGATATGAAAAGAGAAGGAAAAAAATATAATAATAAAATAATATATATGTAAGTGTTATGTCCAAAAGGGATTGATCTGCATGCTGTGTATCAAGCAACCCTATGTAGTAGGGCAGCAATAATTTAAATAAAGTATTTCTTTCTCTTAAATTATAATCTGGGTCATGGTGTTCAACATTGTTTCATGTTTTAAATGTCTGTAATTAGTTATTACCTCTTAAACTTACCTTGAATCCTTTCTCTGCTGCAACATCATCGCACTTGGCCATCAACTTATATGCTAACCCTAAGGATCTGTAGGCTTTGTCAACTGAGAGTATCCTCGCCTCGAAGATGCTGTCAACTTGGAACTTGTTGAACAGATCCAGGTCAATATTGATCTTGTAGAGGTGCTCAAAGATGGTCTTGAACTTGTCGTCTTCGCTCGCCTCGAGTTTGGCCAGAGCCTCTTCCAGGTCACCTTCACGTAGGACTCCATTGAGTATCACTCCGACCAGCTCTTGCTGTCAACATCCAACTATTTATGAAAACATTTTACATATTTTTTAAATTTATTTATAACTGTAATACAGAAATGCATCCAGTAAATTTATACAAATAGATATAATGACATGAAAACACTTGTTGAGAAACTACCCACTGGTAGCACTCTAATAATGTGTCTAAATTAAGAGATCATGGGGCCATCTTTTTTCCAGATGCCTCGGTGGGTTATCAGGAATTGAAGAGGAATCAAGAATAGAAACCTGAGGATTGGGTTGGTTCTGAAGTTTATTATGGGAGGATAGGTAACTGGACTGGGCCAAATCTGAAACATACGGAACATTAAGATCTTTATGGATAATTTTATTTGTATCAAAGTAAGGAGCATTGAGGCTTTTATGAAGAATTTCGGATTGTAAAGATCGGATACAAGAGGAATTTGATGATTTAGATGAGCCCAATAGCTCAACTCCTTAAGTCCAAATTGGCCTAATTATAGTCATATATATGAGTCTTTTATAACTAATTGAAAGTTTAGAGCGTTTGTCAAGTAAGTGCTGAAGTAGTCTGAAAGTCTGGTTTCTTGACGTTTCAGTCTGGTATTATATAGTTCAGAAGAAGAATTATATAATATGGAAATTTGTTAGAAATTTCATAACTTTTTGATAGCTTGAAAATGAAAAATTGGCTCAAAATATTGTAATGAACTAAATAAATGGAAAATTATAAGGGCAATTCAATCATTAAAGCCACCGCATAATAAACAATAATCATTTCTGGCCAAATTAATGTTAAAATAAAGTACATATGCATATATTCTTTCATTAGGAAAATGTTGTAATAATCAATACTAATAAATAAATGGAATATCAAGGATTAAATATTTACTTAATAATAACAATAACAAGTATATACACATAATCATCCAAAATACATTTAGAAATAATTATAATTCTCCAAAATAATAATAATAATTTGAATTTTTGTTCAGAGTAAAATTAAATGTTCACCCTAAAAGAAGAATGTTTCAAGTAGAGAGAGACTGAAGTGGACTGGTGATACATTTAAGAGGTTGGCTGAGGACAGTGATGGATGGGGGTGTCCTTAACTTAACCACTCCCCACAAATCTCTTTGGAGAGGGAATGAAGAATCTACAGAACTTTATTTATCTTGTGCCTATAATCCAATTTGAGTTTTCTAAAATATTAATATATTTATTAAATATACATAGCAAATAAAAATGGTGCATTTTGTATAGAGATTTCCCCCTTATAAAATACAATTAACTCATGAACTGAAGACCAGAGACCCTGGACAGTGAATAACTCATGTTGAGGGAGTTACAGCAGCAGGAAGTTGATACTGATTTTTCAAAAAAAGTTTTCTTCTCTAACGAAGTTCCCTTTCCGATATCTGGATACGTTAATATACAAAATTGCAGCTTAGCTTTAGAGATAAGGAAAATCCTCAGGTGATATACTAGACACCATTGAATGCCCAAAACGTTACTGTGTGGTGCCCATTATTGTCAGGGCAAACAGGAGGATCTATGGCTGGGGGCGGCTTTCGGGCTGAAGCTCCCCCCCCCCTTAATTACATTTAATAGGACTTCATGAACCACTTAAACACCATTTCATATAAGTAGTTAATTTCTTTCTTTTTGTTTTTCAAATTATTTTTATGAAGATTTATGAAAAAAAAATTTCGGGCTAAAGTCTCCTCCAAAACTAAATCCGCTAGTGTCAGTAGGCGTAATTGGGCCTTACTTTTGTGTGCAGGATAACCGATTATTTTTGGCACAAAATTGAGGATATTGATTCGGAAGACATATGGTTTCAGTAAGACGACGCTACATGTTGCACATCGTGGACAATGTCAGATGTTTTTCGTAAAAAGTTCGGAGGTAGCATTATTTCAAATCGAAACTGACCGCCAACATCATGTGTTTCGACGCCATTAGATTTCTTTAGACCGCTTGGCCACTCCGCCTCTGTGTTCAATAAATCTTAAAACTAATAACTATATTAACACCATAATTAATAATTAAAGAACACCATTTCCATTTTTTAATTAAATTCGAGGAGGGGAAGGAGGAATAGGTATTCTCTGTTCGCTTAACGACGGGCCAACCCTATCTTACAAAATATACAACTGTTCATTTATTGTACTACTCGTAGCTCAAGAACTCTCATAAATTGAAATACATTGTACAAATATGACAAAATGGACGAATGGAACCGGCGGTGGGTGATAACCCCAAAAGGATCTGATCTACCTTGAGGAAATACTTCCTCACCTTTCGGTCACGTTAAGTGGGTCGTTCCGGACTACTGGCTCTAGCCACTAGCGGGTCCAGGATTTAATTTTGGGGAAGGCTTCAACCCGAAAGCTTTTTTTTTTCCTAAAAATGACGATAATTACTTTGGAAAAACAGAAAGAAATTACAATCAAAATGAAATGGTGTTTAAGTGATTCCTAAAGTCCTTTTCAATGTAATTACACGAACAATAATACTTTAAGAGATAATTTTTTAATATATTTTTCCATAAAACATGGTTATATTTTACCATTATGGGGAGGCTTCAGCCCGAAAGCCCCTTCTCCCCGTAGATCCGCCTGTGACTCTAGCAATTCCTCACAGGCTATGTGGGCTTTCGAGCAAAGCTTCATTGAAATCCTATGGACATCGACCCCCTATGCCTAGCTGCGGTGTCCCGGATAATGCTGAACACATCATAGCCGACTGCACCGTCATTGAAGAACTAAGGGCTAAACTGCTGAGGGAAACAGGTCTCTACATTCTACCATTTCAATCTAATAAGAGGAGGGAGGAGCTACTGGATCATTGGTATGAAATGTCTAGGAAAAGCATTAAAAGAAATCAAGAAAGAAGAGATGAGCAACCTTCACTTGCAATAATGAAATTTTAAGCTGCCTAACATCTTACTATTGCAGACAACCGTATTGCCTACTAGGCAGGGTTTAAAATAAATAAATAAATACTCGTAGCTCAAATTTTTTAATTGTAATTTACATGTATTCTGTAGTTCATATTGTATTGTAGTCCGTGGTACAGACCCCTTTTTATCGAATTATTGACATCAGGCTGAAACTTTTTAAATAGTTTCATCTCATCATAACCTACAAATATTTTATTTACGAAAATTCTCGGAATTGGGGCGTTTTTAATCTTGAGGTTGACAAACTTTGTCTATTTAATTAGGTACTAAAAACTCGTAAATACTCATTTGCTTTCCACTATAATCGTAAGATAACTTGAGCACAAAGTCGAGAAAAAAGGCGGCCTTCAAAAATATTGAGCCGTATGGCGTAAGCTACATCCCCAAATTGACAAAATAACGAGGTCATATAGGCCAAACGGCACAATCTTTTTTAAGGCCATCTTTTTTCTCGACTTTGTGCTCAAGTTGTCTTACGATTAAAGTGGAAAACAAATGGGTATTTACGAGTTTTAGCACCTTATTAAACAGGCAAACTTTGCCTACCTCCAGATTGAAAACGCCCCAATTCCGAGAATTTTCGTAAATAAAATATTTGTAGGTTACGATCAGATGAAGCTATTTACGAAGTTTCAGTCGGGCGTTAATAACTCGATAAAAACGGCTCTGTACCACGGACTATTATTTTTTACCAACATAAAATAAACTGAATTTCACAGTAAATATGTAAAGAACTCGACTTTTAGAAACTGGACATATATATATATGATATTCTCAAGTGTTTCAGTAAAGTTTTAAATTTTGCATACCTGTTCGTTATTTGAAATTAATACGCAACGAAAGAAATAAACTCAATAAACTGAATAAAATACTCAAACGATATTTGTTACGAATACAGTTCAAACATTTAAAGAAGGTTTATTCTATATATTAAACATGGGTTTTGGAGAAAAAATATTAACGTGAAAGTGTAAAATTGCTTAGTTGTTCACCCTGACCATCAAACTAGCTTTTGTACCGTTTATTACTAAAATTGGCTCTCAATTCAGAATGTTTGCCGTTAATTTTACTTGCATTGTTTGTTTGTTTTTTCGACGCCTTTTTCTTTTTATATTTACATCAATACATCGATATTTAATTTAGAAATAGTTCCAATCGATGTTTTGTCTTTGTCATACCAGATTGCCTGAGTCAGTCCATGGTCTGGTATCTAAGGCCCAAATCATTGATTCTGACTTATATATGAATTTACATTTACACCTATAGACATAAATTAAATATTTAATGACTGGAAAAGTTGTTCGAGTGAACACACACGATATTTTCTCATATTTTTGTTACTCATTGATCTTAATTTTTTATCTAAAATGGCTTTAGTTTAGTGTTTTCAGCTTCAGAGATTTTTTTTGTATTGGTAAATTTGCCAACAGGATTAAAGTAAATTGAATTTCTCTTTATTAGTCATGTCGTATGATCAGAAGAGAGTTAATTTTTTATTGTATTTTTTAATTATAAATATTATCATAAATAAATTTCTTTTGATAAGTATAATTTTATCTCTGAGAACCTCCCTGTTAGAAGTGGACGTGCCATTGTTTCGAGAGCCTGTTGCAAGTGGCACTTGTCAATTCCAAAAGCTCACAAAAACACTCGTAAACTGGGCGAAGGGCTGCTGACGTAATCAATAACCCACTGTCATTCCTGGTCGATGACGTAACAACAATGGCACAATTTACCTGACGTCTGAACCTGTGACGTCATCCCTTCATTCTTCATCCTCCTCGGCTTATTCAACGCTAATGAATTTTTTCTTTGTTGAGAAAACAAATGTATGGATATATATTTTTTAATAAGAAAAATGTTAACACCACTAATAATTATGATTATTAATTATTAAGAATATATAAAGTTTATACTATTTAGTATATAAGGTTTGGATTAGAGAGGGATTTAATGGGTTCGTGAAGACCCAAAGTTTAAATCCATACATTAAATTAAATAATAGACTTGAATAAAGTTACATAAATAAGGTTTTGAAAATAAATTAATGGTATCGTTC